TGAACGCGACTTGGTCGGATTGAACCTGAAGTGGGACAGTCTTGGATGAGCTCTCCCACAGATCCGGCTCGTCGTGCGTCCTGCCGTTGTGAAACAGTCGCCTCGGTAGGAGCGTCAAAGATCCACTTGGATCGCTGAGCGACGACGCTGTGCGGCCTGTCGCAGTCATAGAGCAGCGTCGACCCTTTCACCGCCTGCGTCAACACCACGCGACCCCTATGCATAGGCAAAACGCTCAACAAGTTATGCTCTCATCAGCTACGAGGACGCAGGCCCTCGTCCAGCATTTCTGCGGCCTCGCTCGGCCGACTGATGTTTGGTTAGATCTCTGTCTTGTTATCCTCGCTTGAGATGCTGAAGATCATTTCGTGAGGGTGAACATCTCTCTTCATCAGCAACAGCAACAAATGGCGCAAGCTGGACGTTGATGAAGACCAATAAAAAGGACCATTCGGTATGCCACTATCGGTTCGCACTATGAGTGCGACGCTAAATGATGGCGCGCATGCCGTTCCAACTCTGGCCTCGCGATGGCCGCTATGGACTCGGCATCGCGACCGCTGTCTGCTCCGTTCAAGATGAGCATGTTATCTTCTCAGGCAGGCGTATTGGTGTTTGTGTGTGTGCACATCCAAGGCGAAGGGAAAGGGTCATTATTATGGGTCTTCGCACATGAGAAACGCGGCACAGCACATAGAGAGACATGCTTACGCTTGCTGTTCTTTGAGGAGTGCACTGAAATCGGCACGGAAGGTCGATCGCCAATCTTCATTGGTCTTGGAGGGCTTCCAACCAATCTCTCTGCTTAGATCACCCCTCGTCTGAGAACTGATCTGAGAGTCAGACAGGCTGAAAGTTAGTTAATGAGTGATGAGGCCAACAGCATGCTGAGATTGAAAAGGATAACATGTTATGTACTTGGAAGCGAATGCAAGTTCAGCAAAGGAAGCACTACCTCTGAACCAGTGTGCAGCTTCCTCCAGAGTGACGCTCTTCACCTTGTTGGTCTTCAAAGCGCCCAGGTCGAGGGTTAGGGTTAGGGTTAGGGTTAGGGTTAGGGTTAGGGTTAGGGTTAGGGTTAGGGTTAGGGTTAGGGTTAGGGTTAGGGTTAGGGTTAGGGTTAGGGTTAGGTAGGGTTAGGGTTAGGGTTAGGGTTAGGGTTAGGGTTAGGGGTTAGGGTTAGGGTTAGGGTTAGGGTTAGGGTTAGGGTTAGGGTTAGGGTTAGGGTTAG